ACCGGTGGCGTTTCGCTCGTGTCAGGAGAAACGACGCCGATTGGAGGATCAACGCCAGCACCGGGAACTACTGGGGGCGTTTTGCTCGCGTGGGGAGAAACCACGCCGATTTGGGGATCAACACCGGCAGGAACACCTTATGGAAGTGGGGGAACTAGTGTGTTAAGTGGTCGAAGAACCAGGGGTCAGACTACAGTGAACTTGGGTACGGTGCAGCCGTTGTCGACGGTATCAGAGAGCTCAGAAGGAACGGCAAGTGTTGGAAGTAGTAGGTTTCCGAGTAATACGACTAGTGCTTTTGTGAATAGTCCAACTACGTTTGAGTTTTGTGACGAGCGAACGGTGGTGATTGGTGTTAATGGCGAAGCAGTTCCGTATTTTTTTGTGGAGCCGATTTCATACTTGTCGGTGGATGATATTAACCCGGGTGGTTCAGGCATTCAGTTTCCGAAATCGAATAAAGGCTATATAATTGTCGTGCCACTCAGTATACCAAGTGTAGTTAAAAGTGTGGTTTTGCCTGGTGGAACGAATGTGAATCAAATTAGGGTTATGTTGTTGAATAATAATAATGAGACTATCAGTGATGGGAGTGGGCGGGTATTCACGTTTACGTCCAGCAAGGTGGTGAATCCGAGTGTACGTATTAACTTAAAACAGAAAACATCTGCGGTGCATATCACTCTGTTAACGACGGAGGGAGATCAACCACCTAGAAATGTGACAGTGAGCATCTCGGCATGTGTGGAATCTGGCACCACATTTGAAACCACAATGTCTTCAGTGACAAGTTTTGTTAGTCAACAGTCAAGTGAACGAAGTAAGATGGTTTATCCTGACATAGAGTATTTGTTGAATACGTTTCGTTCTTTTAGGTCACTATAGCACAAGTCCACCTCCTATACGTATGAGTACACCACATTCACGTGAGTAATAAGTTTTCAGATGTGCTCATCACTTACTGACTTGTTGAAATATCTTTAAGTCAAATTTCAACTTATATCAAATTTTTAGCATCATTTTCGCCTTGCCAAGTGAAACGACAACAACCAAGTCTACTGGTAATAGGAAAGTGTATTTCTCAGCAGGAGATTGAGCAAGACTATTGCGCTGGTTATTGCCCATCATTTGAAGAACTCGATATGTTTGGCGGTCTAATACTTAATAAAGAATGCCTTTGTTGCACGGCTGGTGAGACATATTATGAATCAGTGACGATGAGCTGTTCAAATAATGATACTTCAAACACTGAGCGTCGTTCTACTCAAATAACAAGAATACGATCTTGTCAGTGCTATGCATGTCAAAAACAAGTATCAGCATTTATTGGAAAAAATGAAACAATAACAGATACAAGACAAAGAAAAAGATAAGATTAATTTTTCGTTTGCTAATAAAAGATTAAAATCATTTTTGTTAGAATTCCTCAAATATTTTTGTTAAATAAAACTTTTTTGGGAAATATGTATTCAATGCTGAGAAAAGCTGTCAATACTTGAAGAACTTTGTTTCTCGTGTAATGTGATTTAATAGTTTGTCAAATTAATTAGAACATTTAGAATCACCATCTTATCACTTGATTCTCATCTGTTAGTGAGATAGAGGACTGTATGTCGATAGTCAATGCTGTGAACACAGTTTTTAGCATGTCTATTTATATATACTGTTACGTTACTGCTATCAAACGTTTGGATGTGTGCGTCTACTACACACACCTAATAGAGCTAACAATGTTACAAAAATAATATTGTTAGCTAGATAAAATATAAGAAAAAACGATAAATCATGCACAATATAATACAATACAACTATTACTGGTAATAATACAAAAGTCGAAAAAACAGATTTAGATATTCTAGTATTGGTTTTAAAACGGCTACATATCAATCATTCTCAAATAACACCGAAAAAAATCTATTTTTCTAAGCTATATATCCAACATCAGGCTTCTGAACACTGCTGATGATGTAAATAGAAAGAATTATGTATTTTATAGCAGGTTGCACAAAATTCGAATCAGTCTCTAAAAAGATTAATTATGTTTTATATGATAAAATAAGAATAATACAAAAATTAGGACTACGGCGATGTAGAGCATCGTGAGCATGTCCTTTAACCAGTAGAATAGACGAATAATCACCATCGGACAGATCTTTATCTAAGATATGGGCGGCATTCTATATTTTCATAGATCCTTTTTACCACTGACTGCTTGACTCAAGCAAGAATGCTGAAGGATAGGTTACAACATCAATACAAGCAGGAGTATTATATTCTTGTGAAGTCAATCCTAGTACACTATAACTGCAACTGAATTACCGTCTTCTCTTACCATCTAACTAATACTCGAACGCTTGTTGAATTTCATCGCTATGCTCATTTGTATGGTTGAGCTGTTGTAGTATTTTTCTTTTTGCAATTTCTTGGTTTTCTTCCCATGGCACAAATACTCTTGAAATGTATGGATCAGAACCAGTAACTATTCGAGTCTGTAAGATATGACTAGCGTCACGATTGTAATATGTTCGTCTTGCTTCTCGATCATAATCGTGTGCTGACTGGCTTCGTTGTCTAACACTGCGTTCATCTTGTACGATGTATGAAGGAGATTTATCTTCTATTCTATCAGTCTCGTGCAATGGTAGTTTCTGGTTTCTCTGTAGTTTTTCCCACTTGTTATTATTATTATTATTATTATTATTATTTTTATTATTATCGTTTGCATCATAGAGTAGAGCACCTTTTATTGTTTGTCCTTCATCGGACAATTCATAGACAATTGTCTGAAATTCTCTTGGTACGTCCCATTCGATCTCGTTCAACTGACTAATACTCGCATATTTCATACGATAACGACTGTATAAATTAGAATCGGTAGTCAAGCGTTTATCGTATGGTGCTAATGTTGCTGAATAATCTATCCGTACAAAGCTATCAGCTATTGATTCATCAGTATTGACTTTAACCGATGTGCGTGGCGATTCTTCGATATAGAGTGGTTGAGAAATTGTCGTACTACCAATTATCAATCGTGGTCGATAGCTAATATCGCCACTATCAAGTCTCGATGGTGTTCGACTTCGTTGTGAGGAAAGATTATCATTAATAGAGTATGGACGATTATAGTAAGCCTGTTGTTGTTCTAATTCTAATGGTGGAGTATTTCTACTTCCCTTTAATATTGATTTTGGTATGATAACCGAATAATTGGTTGTATCTGTTGAAGTGTCTGTGCGCTTTATCATATCACCTTGAGGATTAGCGTTCTCTGGAAGAAATGTATGGAATGGTGCGTCATCATCCGTATCATCATCTTCAATGTTATCGTGATGTGATTCAAAATTTGACAATTGTAAATGTTGAATAAGCGGAGGTGGTGGTAAGTGTAGCATACTGACTGATGGTGGCGTATGGTACGAGTGTATTTCATACTCAGATGGACTTAATTGACTTGTACTTATAAAACCGTTCGATGGTCTCAATTCTACCCAATTTAATCGTTGCGGATGATATTGAGTAGTAGTCGATGATGATGATGGTAGTAGTGGCGGTGAAGGTGGCGATAACGAATGTAATTGAGGTATAGTACGTAATTCATCTTTATCCGAATGATAAGTCACATTTGGCAGATCAATATTATAAGATGTTTGACTATGTCCGCTTGATGTTCCAACGAGAGCCAGTTCATCGGCATGTGGTGGACGAAGAATGGTAGACTGAAATGGTTTAGAGTATGTTTGTTGAAGATAACCATATTCTTCGCGCTAAAATTATGAAAAAAGAGTAATGAATGTAACTATTTCATACAACTCTAAAAACTTACTTTAACATAAAATCTTTTGGGTTTAATTCGATTAAAGAAACAACGACACAAACAAATAATAATTAATAATTCAAACAAAAGAATGGCACATATAGCCCATAATATTAAATTCGTTTCTAATTGATTCATCGTCTAACTTTGATAAACGACTAGAAAGCGAACGCGATAGTAATCAAAAGGATTATTCAAAGAAAAGTTAAGTTTAAAAACCAAACTACAAAGAAGTTTCTTTACGGAGCACAGGAGAAGAGAAAACTTTAAAAATATGTTTTTAAAATGATTACATTGATATCAAAAACGCGATTTTGGTTTAACGAGACTTCCATATTCCTTTATAGATCTCTTTGGATACCTATTGCTTCAATCGAATAAATCATAATTTCACAGCTACCGTAATACGATATGACAATGACTGGGCCTAATCGTTAATCCGTCCTCGGAAATTTCTACTAATTCGGCCTTGTCCAATGACTTGCCTTTTTATTTAATATAAACAAGTTTTCATAAACTCATTCTATATTCTTGAATACGTGTCATATACAACTAAATAAGTATCAGTAGGTCTGATATCGTTCGATATGAGCATACGTATCAAATTTTATTTCTTGTTGTTCAACATGTTTATACAATACTCTACTGTACCACCATAACTCTTATCTTTAGGTATATTGTCTCACTTCACAGGACGATGTACGAACCAGTGAATATACAACCACTCACTTGTGGAATTTTTCTTCTTTTTATTGTCAACAAATGAACAATTACAACTAAACTGGGAATGGTAAATAATATATGCATATTATTATATATACATATATATATATATATATGTATATATAAAGCATACAATAACCTTGACCCTATAATAGTTTATCAATATTTCATAATATTTCACAGACTCAATTCAGTAAACAATGAATAGACGCAAGATTTCTTTTGGATGAAATATAGACACAGTTGAAATGTAGATAAATATCTCAATTATAATCGTCAAAATAAGATGTTGTCAATTCAAAAAAATATGTTATGTATTACTAATCAAGTCCAGCTGAAGTTGATAAAATTTAGTAACAGTGGTCGTTAGTATACACAATAGTATATTGTGTAGATCAAGAATCATCATTACTAAAACCATTATTACTACTACTACTGTATGATTATATTTATTCCGCACAAAAAAGATTTTTTTTGGAGCTAACTCAACCTAGGTTATAGGGAACATTTATCTAGGCACAGCGAGTTCCAACCTAGGTTAAGCTCTGAGTATAAAATACTTCCATACCATACACTACCATCACTCAAAACTTGCTCGGGATTTGCGTACGCTTCTTGAAAAAAGAAAAAAGCATCACTATATAAAATCTACGGATTTTTCCTCTTGCTCGTCTGTTGAGAGATACAGGAAAGTAAACACTAAATTTGAAAAAATACAGCATGTATAGAGGAAAAAGAAAAATATTAAAAATACATACGAAAAACATACGCTTCCAAAAAATCGTGGTAGAAATTAGTTAAATCTCTTTTAAACGGTACATAATCAGAAGACAATTTGTTTTTATACACAAAAAAGGAAATAATTATTTTGATGATTATAGCCCAAGGCTCACATTTGAAACAATTCGCCAACATTTATGCTATAAGTAATACCGAATAAAACAGAATCATTCCTCCTAACACTACTCTCATAAATGGTTCACGTCTTCACCTTTTCTTTGTTCTATCAGCGGAAGTTGAGCAGTATCTAACTGGAACGAATTCAAATAAAGCTCGGTCAGTTAGAGAATTATATTAAAATTGCTATTTGAAGCTAGTCCGGTAATATCAAGCGAGTTCATGCGCATTTATAATTTATTCTTGAATCCATACTATTTCTTTTGTCTGCCAACGTCATTTAGTATTCAAAACTATATTTATTTGCCGATGACATATCTCTATATTACAGTGGTAAAGACATTACAGGTGCAGCAAACATTATTAGCTTTGATACAAAAAGAATAAATAAATGATCAATATTTTGACAGTAACTTGTATTTAAGTACTATACAAAACGACTGATAGTGGAATGATGTATTTATCATCAAAAGAAACAGCATTTAGAATTCTCATATGGACTTCGATTGGGTACATACACGCAATAAATAAAACTGTTCTTTTTCTTCAGAATGAATAGAGGTCTCACAGTCACTTTTCTTTCTAAACGAATTGCAGACGAACTAGTTGTTGTTCAGTCTTTAGATAGATAGATTTACTTAAACATCTCAACGATAGAATACCTTTATGTTAAGATTAACATTTACCCGCGTCCAAATTACAAGTGTCTTCATTTCGAGCGTAGCTGTTTTGTGACTATTAGATGAAAATTATCTTCTTTCCACCAAATTCTGATTTATTTCAAAAAATTTAACCAATATACGGTCAAGAATTTTCTGATCATGTACACAATATTAACATAAACATTTTTTTCTGACTGATTATCTTTAGCTTCTACTATCTTCATTAACAATGCAACTTTACTGTTTTCAAAACAATCTAAAACTATCGACACTTCTCAAATCTGTCAGTTACATTTTTATCACTAAACTTTATAAAAGAAACAGTGTTTCAAATGATCTCTTGTCCTTTTCTTTAACTGTCATTCTTGCGTCTTTTCTTCCCTGTCTGTGTAATGCACAGATAAATTAATGTAATAAATTCGTTCTTTTTCTTTTGTCTGTCCTTAAGTAGTTTGTTCTATTAGTCAATGGCATACCTTCTTCTTTTCTTACCTCTATGTTTCATGATAAAGCTTATAATATAATTTGATACATATTTTTTGTATTATTAAACGGAAAATTATGATCCCTTTCTTTTGATTGTATATAATACCGTATACACATTTTACATCATACGTGTATTGAGAAATAATCACACTATAACCTTGATTATACGTATACTAAATCATGTTTGTCCATCACACAAGGCATCACGATCTTCTAAACTTCATATAATCTAGAAAGAAACTAGTTCAACAAATAAATAAGTAAATCAAATCGAATAAGATTTCATCCTGTGCTTGGCTACAAAATTATGAAAACTAAGTTTCTTCCTGTGGGAAAGAAATAATAATATAAACCTTCTAACGGATGGGCCATAAAGGATTCAGTTCCTTCTAATGTTCTTATATCGGTGTTAGCGTTTATCCCTAACACTTCCTTTTTTTACTAAAAGAACTGCTGTGAAATTCTTTGCAGAAAACATATTGACTTTTAAGTTTGAATTTTTTACTCTTCCTATGATTTATTTATAAGTTATAAATAGGAAGAGTAAAAAATTTAAATTTAAAATTCAATGACTTTCCTCAGACGTTATCAAAACATACTGACTATTTTATTGCACAATGTAAATACATATTCTATAGTTTGAATTTAAAAAATGGACCTGTTACATTGATCTACCGCTTTCAGATCAAGATCTCGAAACCTGAACGTGAACCCATGACTAGGACACGGATCTGGATCTGAGGTCCGAGGCCAAATTTTAAGCCTAGCGCAAATAATTTTAAATGGATCATTTTGATACTAATTATATCTTGAGGCAAGAATGCTCAAAATGAAGATTGTAACAAAAGAAAATGGTATATTTAATTACCTAAATTGACCTCGCAATAAAGTCATGGCTTTAAGTGTTATCCCTTTATAGTTTTTTGCAAAATGGTACGTAAAATAAGTAAGGTTAATGTACTTAAGAAGAAAATTTCAGCATGTTTGATAACCTATCTTTCCATATGTTTTTGAGGTTATCCCATGTGATACTAAAACATTTCTGACCTTTCTAGAAAACTCCTTACCGCGGCTAAATAATTATTAAACAGTGGGAGAACTCTCATTCATCGCAATCAAGAACTTATTAGCACAGTTCATGAGTAGTGGAGACGCTTGGAGAAAAATAATAGTCTAGAAAGCAGCATCACAACTAAACTGTTTATTAGTACGCTGTTCGTATTCAGCAAACTGAGCTAAACAACATTTCATTTGAATTTCTGTCAACTATACCACTACTACATAGAGCTATTGACTATAGTGTCAAAATGTTCCATCGTAATATTCACAATCATCTCATTTTTCTGACTAGTTTTTCTGAAACTTCAAGTTAAATCAATATTAACTGTCATATGAACGAACAGACATGTGATTATTGGTGAAACAAAAAAATACACACACCAAAACGTCTAAGAACAGTTGATACAGAACAAAATTCATTTATATTTCTTGTATTGCAATCGACATGTTTTATCTTTTAATGTCAAATCTACACTTATGTACTGAATCACTTTCATTACGTTTAACTGAAATCTACACGCCAAAAGCAAACCGCAGACATTCTAACGTTTTTTATTCATGGATTTTCAATGCTACTTTCTTATACTATTTTTCCTATCGATATTTTTCACGCTTTTATCACAGTTTTTGTGCCACGCTTTTTTCCACGTAAAAGTTGTGATGAAAACAATGGGCACGCATTCTATATACTATAATTTATCTAATTAGACGAATTAGCTCACAAAGCGTTTCCATTCTATCAGGTGACCTATATGGTCACCACGAGTATGTTCTGAATCATGATACTGATCCACAGCACCAGTTCTTAGGACGGTTACTTCTCTATCAAATTTTAATGAGTTGTTCATCAACAGAAGAGAAAAATGGAAGTGAAAAATGTCTAAACTTTTGTGATGAAACTACTTGTGTTTATATATGAATCATAGTGGTAAAAAAAGGAGGTGAATGACTTCTATATTTACAGATTTTTCCCTCGATCTTAAAAATGTGAGAATAATTTCAAAATGACCGGTTAAAGGTCGAAATATCAACAAATAACGGTATGAAGTTCAAAATAGCTGCAATTATTATCACATTACTAACTCGAAAGTCGTTGCCCTCGTACAGAGATTTTCCCTCGATCTTCTTCTATAACTATTAATGTTTACGTTTTCCTTTCAATTATTCTATTCACGGTTTTTCTGCTACGAGTTTTATTTCACGATTTCTACTTCTATGGTCCTCATCCTTTCCTACTACACGATTTTTTCGAACGTTTTTTATGCTATGACTTTCGATTTCACGCTTTACTATGCGGTTTTTTTCTCCATG